GTTCTTAAGTCGTTCTACTCTCGTTTTAAACCGTAACATTCCAAATGTTTGCATGCCAAAGCGATTAACCTTAACAAACAAAATTAATTTTATTTGCTTGTGGCTCCGAAAGAGCATTACGTAACATTATCTCTAATAACCTTCAACTTATACGTTCGTGGTTTTGCAACGATATTACTCTGCACCATCGTAGGATAATTTCAGGTAGACAATCAATGGTTTTTTGGTTCCAAGGGACTGTAGGGTCAATGTACATGCAATTGGTTTTCGCAGGAATGGATTTAGGACACGAGAATATGGTAATGTCCTTAAATGAAAAGAATAAAAATGTGCACTGAGAGAAGTTTCTGGATTTTTTCTAGTATATTCGGACCAAAATCGGTCTGAAAAATAAAAAGCATGGAAGCTTTTGGATTCTTTGCATATATTCAGACCAAAACCAGTCCGTATATATATTCACACTTAATTTAATTTAACTTTAAGATTAAAAATCCCTCGGAGTGCCTATATTTGGACTGATACCGGTCTATATATATCTATACGGACCGATATCGGTCCGTATATGCCCCTGAACAACAGTTTTTTATTTTTTTTGTTATTTCGTGCTTAAGTCGTTCTACTCTCGTTTTAAACTGTAACATTTCAAATGTTTGTAAGCCAAAGTGGTTAACCTTAAGAAAAAAAATGAATTTTATTTGCTTGTGACTCTGAAAGAGCATTAGGTAACATTATCTCTAATAACCTGAAACTTATACATTCGTGGTTTTGCAACGATATTATTCCGTACCATTATAAGATAATTTTAGGTAGACAATCGATGCTTTCGTGGTTCTAAGGGATTGTAGGGTCGATGTACATGCAATTAGTTTTCGCAGGAATGGATTGAGGACACGAGAAAATGGTAATGTCCTTAAATGAAAAGAATAAAAATGTGCCCTGTGGATTTTTCCCAACATATTCGGACCAAAATCGGTCCGAATATGTTAATGTGATCCCTTGTAGGCTTAATACATATACAGACCGAAATCGGTCCGTAATTAATTTATGCGCCAATTTTTTACCGTAAATTTGAATCTTTCTGATTGTGCGCTAATTTATTTATATTTTGATCGATTTCGGTCCGAATATTATTAATGTGCCAAAAATTTTCTTGAAAAAATTGAAAGTTTTTGGTGAGGCGCGCCAATAAGGATTATACGGACCGAAAACGGTCTGTATAAGCCTTATATATAGGTTAAACCCCCATTTTGGTCCCTCAACTATCGTACGGACCCCCGACTTAGTCCCTCAACTCAAA